CGCGACCAGGGGGTCCGGGGCCCCCGAAGGAGCTGGCTTGCCTGCTGCGGATGCCGGGGGCCCTCTGCGGGGCCCCCGGGGGGGCCCCCGGGGGGGCCCCCGGGGGGCCCCCCTCGGCAAGAGAACTCAAAAGTACCTCTTTGGGAGAAGCTGTTGCTGCTCTTGCAAAAACTGTCGAAGGAGTTGTGCTGCTGTCGGAGCCTTGGACAAGGGGGTATACGCTGTATGTACACGTGTGCGTGAGGGGCAGCACTTGTGAGGGGTGAAGTTTTTTTTTATTTTTATTTCTTTTTTGTTTTTATTTCTTTTTTGTTTTTATTTCTTTTTTGGTTTTGGTTCTTTTTTGGTTCTTTTTGGTTTTGGTTTTGGTTGTTTGGTTGGTTCTTTTGGTCTTTTGTTTCTTTGTTTGTTTGTTTGTTTGTTTTGGTCTTTTGTTTGTTTGATTGTTTTGGTCTTTTGGTCTTTTGTTTGGTTTATTCTTTTGTTGTTTTGGTCTTTTGGTCTTTTGTTTGTTGGATTCTTTTGTTTCTTTTTTTCTTTTTTTCTTTTGGTCTTTTGTTCTTTTCTTGTTTTGTTCTTTTGGCCTTTTGTGTCTTTTGTTGTTTTGTTCTTTTGTGTCTTTTGTTTGTTTTGTTTTTTGTTGTTTTGTTTCTGTTGTTTGTTTTGTTTTGTTTCTTTTTTGTTCCTTTGTTTTGTTCTTTTGTTTCTTTTTTGTTCTTTTTTTTTCTTTATTTCTCTTCTTTTGTTTGTTCCTTTTCTTTTTATTTTGCCTTTTTTATCCTTTTATTTCTCTTATTGTTGTGCTCTTTTATTCTTTTATTTTTCTTTTATTTTTCTTTTATTTTTCTTTTTTTCTTTTTTCCTTCTTTTGGTTTGAGGGAGAGTGTCTTTGGAGAGAAAGTGGCTTTTAGTCTTTTTGATTTTCTCTTCTTCTTTTATTTCTCTTTTTCTTTTATTTCTTTTTATTTCTTTTCATTTCTTTTCATTTCTTTTATTTCTTTTATTTCTTTTCATTTCTTTTATTTCTTTTCATTTCTTTTATTTCTTTTCATTTCTTTTTATTTTATTTCATTTCATTTCAATTTTCCTTTTTTTCTTTTTGGAAAACTGGCGGCCTCCGCGTTTTTTGAAGTTTTGCGTTTTTGAGTTATTTGAAATTATTTCTCAGTTTAAACTATTTGAACTTTAGAATTTAAAATTAGAACAAATGAATTAAAAGAAATATAAATAAATTAAAAGAAATATAAATGAATTAAAAAGAATAAGTGCAAATAAATAAAAAGAAATATAAATGTATTCAAAAGAAAGCCACAAAGAAAACTGTCCCAAAAGCTGCATCAAGAAAAAACTTTTTATTTCCATTTAAAAAGAAATTCATTTCCGTTTTCAATTATCAAAACTTAAAATCTTTTCTCCTCAAATGCACACCAAAGAACTGCCAAAACCAAACTAGGGGGCCCCCTAGAGGGGCCCCCAAAGGGGCCCCCTAGGGGGGCCCCCCAAGAGAGACCCGTAGGAGGGTTACAGGCTCCTGCGGACTCCAGGTCTTGGGGGCCCCCAGGGGCCCCCAAGACCTTCCGGGTCCCCAAGGGGCCCCCAGGGGCCCCCAGAGTCTTCAGGGGGGCCCTAAGGGGCCCCCAAGGACCTCCAGAGTCTTCAGGGGGCCCCCGGGGGCCCCCAGAAACTTCTGGGGCTCCCAGGGGCCCCCAGAGGCCCCCATAGTCTTCAGGGGCCCCCGGGGGGCCCCCAGGGGCCCCCAAAGAGGCCCAGTTTGATTGGTGGATTTAATAAATGGGGTTTGTGTTGGTGGGGAAGTTTGTGGGGGCTGGGATTTGGGGTGTATGGACAGCTCGAGTGGCTGTGCATACACCCCAAGTCGAACGAAGAGGGCGCCAACTTCTATTTATTTATTTATTTATTTATTTATTTATTTATTTATTTATTTATTATTTATGCATTTTAAATGAATAATTAAATGAATAAATGCGAAAGATTGCACAAAGAGAAAATGGTGAACATCTGCTGCAGCTGCAGAAACCCCCACCCCAGAGGCTGACGGCCCACCTCTTTAAATCTCCGCTTTTTCTTTTTAATTTTAATTTTATTTCCAACAAATTAACAAATTTAAAAAGATTAAAAACTCAATTAAATATTAAAGCCATTCTGGGCTTCAGGGGGCCCCCGGGGGGCCCCTGGGGGCCCCGGGGGGCCCCCGGGGCCCCCACGCCGACTTGGGGGCCCCCCGTTGGCCGCGCAAAGAGGGTTCTTTGTGTCTGTTAAAGTTTCTAAAAGTTAAATAGAAAAATAATTTTATTTTTTATTTTTATTTTTATAATTTGCTGCTGCCCAATGGAGCAGCAGCAGCCCCAAGTTTCGGCGGCAGCAGCAGCAGCAGCAGCAGCAGCTGCGGCTGCTGCTGCCAAAGAACGTGCTGCAGCAGCAAGACAGAGGGCTGCATGCCTTCGAGAAGCTGCTGCTGCTGCTGCTGCTGAAGCAGAGAAGCTGAGCCGCAGCAGCGCGTCAGCAGCAGCAGCAGCAGCAGAGGCGCGGGCGACTGCAGCAGGACGGCAGCAGCAACTGCAGCAGGCGAAGCAAAAGGCAGCAGCAGCAGCTGCTGCTGCAGCAGACATGGAAAAGAAGAGGAGTGCAGCAGCAGCTGAAGCTGAGCGGGCGAAAGCAGCAGCAGCTGCTGCAGCAGAGCAGGCGCGAGAAGCTGACGCAGCAAAGGCAGCAGCAGCAGCAGCAGCAGCAGCAGCAGGGGAGGCGGAAGCAGCAGCCAGAAAGGAAGCAATGGAACGCAGAGCAGCAGCAGCAGCTGCTGCTGCTGCTGCCAGCGAGGCGCACAAAGAGCTGCAGCAGCTGCAGCAGCGGCGGCAGAGGGCCGAAGCAACAGCAGCAGCAGCAGCTGCTGCTGCTGCAGCAAGACTGAAGGAGGCGGAAGCAGCAGCAGCAGCAGCAGCAGCAGCAAGAGAAGCAGCTCTCGCCAAACGCACTCAGGCCATAGCTGCGCTTGAAGCAGCAGCAGCAGCACGTTCCCGCGCAGCCGGCGTAGCAGCAGCAACAGCAGCAGCAGCAGCAGCAGCAGCAGCAGCAGACACGCCATCGTATGTGCAGTCCAAATGCTAGGGGCCCCCAGTACCCTCGGGGCCCCCAAGCAGCAGGGGGCCCCCCTAAACAAACATGGGGGCCCCCAGCCTTCTAGACCCTCTAAAGTACCCTGAAGTACCCTAGGGGGCCCCCAAGCTCCATAGACATCCATTAGGGGCCCCACTGGGGCCCCTGGGGTCCCATAGGGGGCCCCCTAGGGGCCCCCAGAGGCCCCTGGGGGCCCTTAGGGGGCCCCCTAGGGGGCCCCCAAAGGCCCCTGGGGGCCCTTAGGGGGCCCCCTGAGAGCCCATAGGGGCCTGCTGGGGGCCCCTAGGGGCCCCTTGGGGGCCCTTGAGGGGCCCCCAGGTGTCCTAGGGGGGCCCCTAGGGGCCCTTAGGGGGCCCCCAGGTACCCTAGGGGGCCCCTAGGGGGCCCCTAGAGGGCCCCAGGGGGCCCCCAAGGCTGCAGGGTTTTCAAGGGCCTCTTTAAGGCTTTCTTAAGGGTGCAGGGAGGGGCCCCAAAAAGGGTTTTGAAATATTGTTTGGGGCCCCACAGGGGCCCCAGGGGGGCCCCCACGGGGGGCCCCTACAGGGGGCCCCACAGGGGCCCCTACAGGGGGCCCCTACAGGGGGCCCCTAGGGGACTCAGAGGGTCCCCTGTAGAGCCTTCATTAGATTTATTTGGGGCCCCCAGAGACTACAAAAAGGGGACCTGGGACGCGCCTATAGAGGCTCTACTGGGGCCCCCTTGGGGCCCCCCTGGGGCCCCCCTGGGGCCCCCCTGGGGCTTCCCTGGGGCCCCCCTGAGGCCCCCTGGGGTCCCCTGGGGCCCCCTTGGGGCCCCCTGGGGCCCCCATGGGGCCCCCCTGGGGCCCCCCTGGGGCCCCCCTGGGGCCCCCCTGGGGCCCCCTTAGGGTGCATTTGTGTGTGCATTTGCTGCAGCAGTTTGCTGCTGCTGCTTTGTGGGGTTTGCTGCATTTTTGGGTGAGATTTTGTCTGTTCTGAGGTGTACGTACACCTCAGAAAGCCCTTTTGAAGTTTGCTGCTTTTTTGTTTTGGCTTTTTTGCCTTTTGGCCATTTGACTTTTCCTTTTAATTCCTTTTGGCTGCTGCTGCTGCTGCTGCTGCTGCTGCTGCTGCTGCTGCTGCTGCTTTCGCTGCTCTGGATTCCACTGGAGCGAGTTCCCCTCTAGCAGTTGCGCTAATAATATTATTATTTTAAATTATTATTTATTTATTTATTTATTTATTTATTTTTTTATTTTTTTATTTATTTTACTTTGTTCTACTCTTTTAGTTATTGGCTCAAGCCAAAGTTGCTGCTGCAGCAGCTGCAGCAGCGGCAGCAGCAGCAGCAGCTGCTGCTGCTGCTCCAGCGGCGCTTTTGTGTGAGGTGTACGTACACTGCAGCAGCTGGGTAGCCAAAGGGGTTTCATTAAATTCAATTTAGAAATTGAAAAGAACAAAAACCCTTTTTTAGGGTTTAGGGCTCAGCAGCAGCAGCAGGTGGGCAGCAGCAAAGCAGCAGCAGCAGCAGCAGCAGCAGCAGCAGCAGCAGCAGCAGCGAGCGTGTGCAGAAGTTAAACTGGAATAAATGAAATGAAATAAATTAAAAATGAATTAAATTAAATTAAATTAAATTAAATTAAATTTTAATTCAAAGTTTATTTGCTGCTGCAGAGAGACACGCGCAGCAGCAGCAGACGCCCAGCCGGCGGCTCAGCTCCAAACCCTAAACCCTAAACCCTAAACCCTAAACCCTAGGAGTTTGGGGCGCGCCGCCCCTCGCTATTGGCAAACAAACCATGAGAGCCGCAGAGCGAAATGCGACGGGGGTTTAGGGTTTAGGGTTTGGGGTCTAGGGTTTAGGGTTTGGGGCGGAGCGCAGGGGCGGTCTGTGGCTTCGGGGGTTTAGGGTTTAGGGTTTAGGGTTTGCGTTGACCCCGGGGGTGTGGCGTCGCGGCTTTGACGAGGAGAGGCGAGGGTTAGGGGTTTAGGGTTTAGGGTTTAGGGCGCAGCAGGAAGTCAATGTAATGTGTCTCGTTTTCGCTAAATTAGGGTTTAGGGTTTAGGCTTGTCGCAGCAGAAGGGGCCTTTTGTTGCTGCTGCTGCTGCTGCGGGCCTGGGGAGTTGGGGAGAGGCGTGGGAAGCAAAGCTGCAGCAAAAGTGGCAGCAGCAGCAGCAGCAGCAGCAGCAGCAGCAGCAGAAAGCACCTGCGTGTGTTGCGCGCGGGCGCGGCGCGCGGGCCGGGGGCCCCCGGGGGCCCCCGAGAGATATTTGAAGGCCCAAATGAATTAAAATGATTAATAAAAAGAATAAAAAGAGAAAAAAGAAGAAAAGAAACGGAGAAAAAGCCGCAAAGACAGCGGCGCGGCCGGGGGCGTCGGCGGCGGCTGCTGGCCTGTGTGCTCGGCGGGGGGCTTTGCCTGGGCAGCGCCGCTCCGAACTCGAACTTTAAATGGTTTTTGAAAGAAGAAATGAATTTAAAATTAAAATAAAAAGTAAAATGCGGCGTTCCAAAGTCCGCAGGCAAGACAGCCGCCGGCCGTCTCTACACCGCGCGGCGGAGCGGCTGCAGGCTCGGGCGCCGCAAACTGCGCGCCAAATAGACCAAACTTCATCTTTTTTAATCCTTTGCAACTAAATAAACTAAATTTAATTTTAATTCTCTTTTGAATTCAACAAATTGCGTCGAATTTGCTGCCGAAACGGCCGCGCGGCTCGCCGGCATGCCCGTGCCTCAGCTGTATGTACACTCCACCTCACGTTGGGGCTGTCTGCGGTTTCTAGGGTTTAGGGTTTAGGGTTTAGGGTTTGGGGTTTAGGGTTTTGTTCTTCCTTGGAAAGGGCCGAAGGTTGATTGTATCTGCTAACTGTGCCTTGCAAGCTGCGTGCAGTTCTGCGTAGCGCTGCGGTGTATGTACACCCTATCTCAGCCCCCGCTGCTGCTGCTGCTGCTGCTGCTGCTGCTGCTGCCTTCTCCCGCAAACACTGCAGCAAACCCTCCCGTTGCTGCCACTTATTGCCTTTGCTGCTTCTCGACTTTCCCCGCGAGCTGCAGATACACTGCACACCGCAGCGCTCGGGTGTACGTACACCTCGCCGCTGCACCTCGCAGCAGCAAGTGTTCTCCTCAGGTGTACGTACACCCCAGCTCGAGGCCCTCTGCTGCATTTGCTGCTGGCCTCTGCAGCCAGCCGCCGCCTGGAACTCCGGGGGCGCTCGCGCAGCGCCTAGGGTTTAGGGTTTAGGGTTTAGGGTTTAGGGTTTAGGGTTTGGGGAGATAATGTTTCCCAGCTGCAGCTACAGCAGCCCCAGCCACTTCCCCAACCCCTCCACCCCCCAACGCCCCTTAG